TCTCTTAATCAAGAGGGAGATAATGTCCCCAGGGCTGACAGTCTGGACCCAAAAAAACAAGAAGACATCCTACACAACGTTGCTGCAAATAAAAAAGCAGTAGACTTGGATCTGAATGTAGACAAATTGGAGAAAAACGATGCAGAAGAAGTGTCTGATAAAGACACTGAGAAAAAGCAGCAGCTGCATTTTCAGAAGGACGGTCATGCTGTTGAACCAATTGCAGAAAAAGAACAAAACGCAGTGGATGTAAAGATTGGAGACAAAGCCAAGGCCAAGGAAGAAACGGGGGGTGAGCTTGAGGTCGTGGAAAAAAACAACAAGGCTTTTGATGGGGATGTCAGAGGAAAAGAGGTGAAGCTAAAATATGGGCAAGAACATGTCAGGTCATTTAATAAGAGTGACATAAGTGTTTTAAAGAAGCCTGTAATCAGACAACAGGTAAAAGAGAGCTTTAAGGATAACTCCACTGCTGCCAACAAGACAGCTGTCCACCAAGTGCTTTCTCTGGATGTGACTCTGTCTCCCAGAGACCCCAATGCAGTGGGACAGTTTGGTCTTGCAGCTCAGGTTGCTAGTAACGAGGAGGATGAGGTGAAGAAACGATGGGACGAAGGGCATTTCAACGTCTATCTGAGTGACCAGATCCCCATTGACCGTGGCATGCCTGACGTCAGGCCGGAGGGGTGAGTTTTCTTCGCCACAGTTCAGTCGTTCGCTCCCAACAGCCTGTTTCTGCAACGTGTTTTTTTTGCCCTCCTTACAGATGTGCCCAGAAACGGGTGCACGACAATTTGCCGTCAACCAGCGTGATTTTCTGCTTTGTAGATGAGGTGTGGTCCACACTCCTGCGATCTGTGCACAGCGTTCTCAACAGATCTCCTCCACACCTCATCGAAGAGATCATTCTGGTGGATGATTTCAGCACCAGAGGTACCACACACACTACCTTAGTCTGGCCTTCACGCTGGGAATAAAACTGTCAACACTGACAAACTGATGAGATCATTGCTTTGTTTGGAACAGACACTTCTTTCATAAGCACTGCACATTTGCAGTGTGAGCATAAGGTTAAGAGTGAACTTTATTGATCCTGCACTAGGGAAATGTTTGTGTTGCAGCAGCACAGGGGTCAGAGGCAAAGACTGTACAAGAATGAATTTACATCATGACAAGAAACAAATATATATAGATATGTATATGCTGATCATTCAATGATGAATGTGATTAAGTAGTAATAGTTAAGTTGAACAGTATTTACTTAGTGCTCCACAAGGCTGTGGGATGTAGCTGCAAAGTAAAAGTGACCTCAGAGAGTTTAAGGTAAACGTGTAGCCAAAAAGTGATGGAGTGGTTAGAATTCTTGCCTCACAGTAAATAGGTCATAGGTTTGATTCATGGCAGCAAAGGATGGTCACTAGATGTGAATCCGGATGTGAGCTGTGGTGATTGGTGCGATTGGTTCCAGTGACCCCTAAAATGATTGTGTAGTAGAAAATAATGGACAGAATTAATTTACCAGATGTCCAAGTTTTTTTTTTCTCATTAAAACACTTTAAGGAGAAACAAAGTAACATGGAGGTTGTGTAAAACTGATATTCTCAATTAGTTTTGCTTTTTGTTTTTGCTTTTGCAAAATGTATTGTATTTGCTTGACATTTGCTCCTAGACAAAGGTATTTATTTAATCTTATCATGTAAAGTAGATGTTATGTTTGGATATGTCAATTTCATACTATCTTGTCTTGTGGCACAGAATATCTGAAGGAGCCGCTGGACAAATACATGTCCCAGTTTCCCAAAGTTCGAATCCTCCGTTTGAAGGAACGCCAGGGTCTGATCAGAGCCAGACTGGCTGGAGCTGCTGTCGCCAAAGGTAAGAAAAGCTGTCACAGAGTGTTTGTTGTAATAATTTAATTTAATTTAAAATAATTTGTGTCATACACGTCGTCAGCACTAGGTGATTTATTGTGTAATGATATAGGCAGTAGATGTGTAGCGTGATCTGTGTAGACTTTTCGACAGGTCTGATGTTGCCACAACTAATGTGTTGATCAAATAAGACGTGTACGATGGTAAATGTCATGGATGAAGAATGAGAGGAAAACCTTCAGTAGGTCTAAAGTAATGTGGGAACGTGTCTTGTAACTCAATATATTATAATGAATAAAAATAACATTTATTGAGTCCTACTGAGCATTACTAAAGTCAGTCATGGTGGGTAATCTGTGCAACTGATTAAACAGTAAAGGAGTAACAGTGGGCAACAACAGTGTTTATTTTGTAAAGTGCAGCAGGATGTTTGCTCTCCTCTCCTCCCTATTAGGTAAGGTGCTCACCTTCCTTGACTCCCACGTGGAGTGCAATGTGGGCTGGTTGGAGCCACTTTTGGAGCGAGTTTGTCTGGATCGCAAGAAGGTGCCCTGCCCTGTTATTGATGTAATCAGTGACAAGGACATGAGGTGAATGACTGACCATGTCATAGCTGCAGACAAGTGTACTGCAGTTCAATTTTATGATTTATAAAATAGTTTTTAATACCCTCCTACTTCTGCTCTGACTTGTTCTTTTTAGTTACTTGATGATTGACAACTTTCAAAGAGGCGTTTTCAAATGGCCTTTGGTCTTTGGCTGGAGTCTGATGTCTCCTGAGTATCTGAAGAACAACAACATAACGGCCTCAGATCCTTTCAGGTACATTTATATATATATATATATACGTATATATATACTATATATATATATATAATATATATATATATACGTATATATATACTATATATATATATATAATATATATATATACGTATATATATATATTATATATATATATATAGTATATATATACGTATATATATATATATTATATATATATATATAGTATATATATACGTATATATAGCTCATAGTTTTGCATTAACAATGCCTTTGTACTTATTGTAATCTACTGATGAACGTGAATGCAGCGTCTAAACTGCTGCTGTGGCCTGGTTACACTCCCTGCAACACTATATAGTATCCTAAAAACCACCATGCTGAAGGAGATAATAAGTCACTTTGCATCCAAGGATCTAATATCCATTTGGACATGTTCCAGTGCAAGGATTAAACCCCGCTTTTGCTGCAGCGCAGCTATTCTCTTTATGTGAAGATAGTGATACTCCTGTTTGCTGAAAAGCTACAGTCAATCTGGACAAAAACCACAACAAAATGTGTTGAAACATTGCGCTGTTGAGGTTTCAAATTTCTTTAAAAAATTCTTATATTGTTTCAATGACACAAATAAATATGTAGTAAACAGTCAACAGTCCTAGGCCCTTAAGAATCATCTAGATTTTCCCTCAAATTACATCACAGGGCACAAATGTGCAAATTAACACAAGTAAACTATGTCTTAACAAAAATACAGATTTTATTTCACCACAGAGGTCTTCAACAGTGATGTAATACACATTACCATTAATCCTGTCTATTTTAGCAGTTGCGTAAATGAGGGCAGATGTTATTGATGTGTCAGTCAAAAAATGCTGAAGTTCTCTACAGCGGTGATCTGGTTAAGTTGAGGCTGAAGACGAGCATAGACCTGTCCCTTCAAGGCCTCCAGCACAAAGGGTGGAGGACACTCCCCTACAGCTGTTGTTACAATTATTACACGCGAGCTGTCATGGTTTTAAAATAACTAATTTTCTCAGGGAGCATCCCTAATTATAAATTATTATTAAATTAACTGTAAATATCAAATGTTAAAAATGCCATCGCCAATGCCCTGCAGTTTTAGTTGCTTATTCATTTATTTTTGTTTTGGACTTTACAGGTGTCCAGTTATGGCTGGAGGACTTTTCTCAATTGACAAAAATTACTTCTTTGAGCTTGGAACCTATGACCGAGGCCTGGACGTTTGGGGTGGAGAAAACATGGAGATCTCCTTCAAGGTGCATTTGTTCATCAGGTTTTACTCTGTACATGAAGTTTTTCTAACCAGCTTTTCTTAACTTGAATATTATTTCTACATGTGGCCTCTCTCACAGATCTGGATGTGTGGGGGAGAAATAGAGATCATCCCCTGCTCCCGAGTGGGACACATTTTCCGTGGACAGAATCCGTACAAATTCCCCAAAGACAGACAGAAGACGGTGGAGCGTAACCTGGCCAGGGTGGCTGAGGTCTGGCTGGACGAGTACAAGGACATCTTCTACGGTCACGGCTATCACCACATGCTGGACAAGAACACCTTTGACGTGGGCGACCTCACGGAGCAGATCGAGCTGAGGAAGAAGCTGAAGTGCAAGAGTTTTAAGTGGTACCTGGAGAACGTGTTCCCAGACATGAAGGCTCCTCTGGTCAAAGCCCAGGGAATGGTACGTTCAGTGGAACGATGATGTCATCAGTCTTGCTGAAATATAACAAATGTGACCAACAATAAGTCAAATTTGGTTCTAATATGGTTTAATTGTCCTCTAGCTCTTCAACCAGGGCTCAGGGAAATGTCTGACATTGCAGAACAGTTCTCTCTTCATGGAGACATGTCACCAGACTGAGGCGGTCAGTGTTTTTTGAGTTTTCTTTAAATGCTAAGAAATATATATGTCAACGTTCTTCTTCTGAGCAATTATTTCTCTCAGCAAATGTAGGCCACATTAATCCTCTAGAGCTGTAAAACTAGATCTGGAGGATGTAGTACAGAAATATTCAGGATACTAAAAATGCTGTCCAGGACAGGATCCAAGCCACAATAAACAAGGGTGGAGTTCAAGTCCAGACCAGTCCTTTCTGGCTGTGGTCCTTTCAGACCTCAGCGCTGCCTCCCTGGTCCATTGTTTCAACATCTAACTGTTTTCATAGGACATAATTATATCTCTGGAACCCAGCTTATTTTTTATTTTTATTTTTTTTAAAGAGTCAACAATTTAATTACACCTGGATGATGCAGATTCGTCAGCAGGACCTGTGTGTTGTCCCACAGCAGCAGGACAACGGCTTTGTTCTGCAACCGTGCAACAACAGCAGTCCAGAGCAACGATGGTTCCACAAAGCTACCAACTCACCAATGGTAGGTTGATATGAAGCTGTTCGCTTTGATTAGTGTTTGACTTGGCCTTCACAGATCTGTCATTATAAAAAGACTTCAGCCTAAAAATCCTATGGTAAAAAAACTGTATAAAATACAGGGAGATTTTTTTATCTCAATCAAAGGGACATGTACATATACATTTAACCCATCTATTTCCTGGGGAGCAGAGATCGCTTTCAGAAGACAGTGAATTGGTCTCTCGCCCCAACAAGCCTCTGATAACAAGTTTAAAAACCACTGAGCTGCAACATCGAGAAACTCAATGTTGTGGCTGTTCTGCTGAAATTTATTTCAAAAGCATTTTAGCATATTTTTTTTTCACGCTGTTTTTTTTGTTCCTCATATAGGCTGAGCTTTTTTTTTTCACGCTGTTTTTTTTTGTTCCTCATATAGGCTGAGCACCTCATATCAGAGGTTACTCTCCATCGCGTGTGTCTGGAGGCGGAGCCTAACAGTGACTCTGTTCATGTCAAACCATGTGTTCCCCTCAACGACCGGCAGAAATGGCAGTTCACCCACTACAACATATAAACTGTAAGACTGTTCTTATTGATTACATGTCTAATGTGCACTACGGATGCGTCTTTGGCTTCGCTGTGGTAGAACGATGCAGAACCTTGTGGAAATACTATGGTACCAACATGCACAGTGGACTGTGTAGGGTATGTGCAATGTTCAGATTTAACGTGGACTGAAGTTGATTTTCAGGAAAGAAATTTGCAGCTGACATTTAAGTTGGTCAGTTAAACTCTTGATTAATTTTATTATATTATTATTATTTGGACTACAAAGTCCAATGCAAATGGAAAAAATAGTTTACACCCAAACTCGCAGAGCCTCACAGTTTGCAAAAAAATCCACTCCAAGGCCAAGTTAAATGTATTTGTAAAATAATAATAATAATAATTTCTTCGTGTATAAATCGTGTCCCATCCTCTCTAGATTTTCTTTATGTAATGTTGGTAAATGGGTGAAATGGCTCCCCCTGTGGTTTTCAATTTCCTGTGTAATTCTTCATGTATATTTTGTTGTGAATTTTTTACGGTTTTGTCACTAGGGGGGAGTGTTGCTTTATCATTCCTAATGAGACTGCTGTGATTTCCAGATTTAGTGAGTGAAATGCGTTTTCTTCAGAAAATAAAAACAGATTGTCTTGAAGAATTAGTTTTAATTATTATTTATATTTTCTGCACCAGATAAATAAGACATTTCTTGGCCTAAGCTCTGTCTACCATAACCCAATCTGGCATTAGAGGCTCAGTGGAATCAAACCCAGAACCTTTCCTAAGCCATGCAGGGATCCTACTACTGCAGCATACTCCCCCCATCTAATACCAAACAACATCTTTCTACTACTGCAGCATACTCCCCCCCCCATCTAATACCAAACAACATCTTGGTTATTATAGAAAGTAGGATTATATTCTCAGAGCCTGTTATTCACTTAATCCATTGCTCCAATGGTGGTTTTACATAAGAGCTTTACATTTTCATGCTGAAACCTTATTAGCACCTATTAGCTGGCATTTCTCTACAATTACAGACCAAACAATAAATATTAACAGTTCACACTTTGTTTCAAACCCAGTTATGTCACATTAGGGTGTTCTGTTTATTTTTGATACCGTCTTACAAATTCATGACCATGAACTCAAACTGCTTTATCTTCTGCCGTGTGTTTCCTCTACGGATCTTGCGGTAGGACACGGTGCTGTACTTGGAGGCGGAGGAGAGGTGGTCAAAGGCTCTGGAGCTGTCGCTGGGTTTCTTCTGCAGAGGTAGAGTGGAGTAGCCTGGTTTGGGACCTTGATGAAACCCCACAGGAACATAAAGGTCGGAGCTCTGCTTTGGTTCCTGCTGTACCTTAATTTGCCCTGATGTCTGAAGTTGTTCACTTGACGTCCCTGTTGGGACTTCTTCTTCCTCCTTGTTCAGCTCTCTGTGACGCTCCTCATTACTCAGAAGAACTGGTGTTTGAGCCTCTAGCACTAGTTCTTCGTTTACTTCTAAATTTGCTGCAGAGAATTGTACTTTGTAAGTCAACGTACTTATGTGTTTGAAGTTACTGCAAAAAAAACCCAAAACAAAACAATTTGAACTCACCTCTCTGCAAAAAAACAAAACAAAACAATTTGAACTCACCTCTTTTCCATGATCCTTTCTGTTCCGGTTGTGTTGTCACAGCTGCATTTATGCACGTTGTTTCTAGAGATTCTGTTTGGTTTCTGTCAAACTGTTCTGCTGTGCTGTTACTCTCTGCTCTGGGTTGTGTAGAATCAGAAGAATGGTTTTTTTGTCTCTGACCGTCCTTGCAGTCATCTTTTTGTTTCTTCTCGACTATCAAATCCTCTTCGGAGGTCAACACTTCTGCCTCTTGTTCGGACTCCGTCTGAAGGATAAGTCCCAATGCTTCACATTCCAGAAGCTGTTCTTCCTCATCTAGATTGAACTCACACAGTGTGTCTGCTTCTCTGTCCTGCTGACCTTGGTCCTCATCACTGTAGAAGACAGAGTCGTCTCCCTCCTCCATCGACCATGCGTCTCTGTCTTCAGGCTTGTCCTGGGTCTTCAGAGACTCCAGGGAGATGCCGCTGATGATCTCCACTACTTGAGACACCAGTGCATTTTCTTCTTCCTCTGTTAGTCTGGAAGCCCTGGGAGCCACTGGGCTGGTTGCCATTTCTGACACTATGACACTGGTTCTGTTAAATACCTTTGATTTATAACTCAAAATGAAAGATCCGCACACATGGCTCGGTTATCGTTTCTCATCTGGTCTCATTGCGGCACCTGTTTTCATCCTTTACAGCCAGGAAGAGGGAGTAAAAAGAGAGTTAGTCTGGCTCCGAGTTCCACTACCATTCACTGTCTGTGCTGAAGTCTCTGTGAAACAGGGGTTTTGTTGTGGACCCAACAAGGCGTCTTTGTTGTTGTGGTATCTGCATATGGAGTGATTGTACTGGATCTGTAATCCCTGCTGGATGACAGCATGCCTTCTGTAACAGTTTGAGTCTGGATTAACATTCTCCTAGGTTCCATAGGTTTTCTTGACCCTGCAGTACTGACTGAAAAAGGAGGAATTTAACCCTGTTATGGTGTGTTTTATGTAACATAAGACCGTTAAGTAATGTGGCTGAAGTCTTCATATGACATTATTGGAACCTGAACTAGTGCAGCTGTGGAAATTTGAGAGACCAATGTGTGAACACTGTTCAGAGCAGCTGGTAAAGGTTAAATGAATGAAACTAAAAATGTACTTAACTAAACGTTAGCTAAGTAAATGTTGTATTTTCACCAAGCTTAATAAGAGCAACTTTTTACAGTATTTTGTGTTTGTTAACATTTTAGCATGTTAACACGTAGCTCCACTGGATGAAAATTGACTGAACAACTTGTGTTCATTTGAGTTTTTTGTTTTTTTTGTTAATTATGTTTTGACATATTGTATATAATCGTAAAAAAAAATAGTCAATTTGTTTTTAACTTTTTAACTATTGAAAACTGCCTCAAATTTACCTTGAATTTCTGTTTTGACATATTGTATATAATAGTCAGAAAAACTAGTCAATTTGTTTTTAACTTTGCCATTTGTTTTTAAAAACTGCCTCAAATTTACCTTGAATTTGGTCAGCTTAGCTAAATAGGTTAGCATACTGAAGGTGATAGGTTACCAATAAGAAAATATAAAATACACATTTACTACAAATAAGAAAATATAAAATACACATTTACAAGAAGCTTGAATTAAGTTTTTTCTAGTTTAAAAGGTGATGTCCAAGATTATATGGTAATGATTATACTTCTGGTAAAGCTGCAGGTTGATTTACCAGGAAGGGAAGTTAGACAGTGGTTGATTTGATTGGCTGTTGGATTATTTCCTGTGTAGTGGTTGTTTTTTTAATTTTATTACTGAAGCTGCCTGTAAACCACACTGTGATAGAATGTGTACAATAGATAGAGGAGTGAGTTCCTACATCAGTACCAGGTTCTGTTGTCCTGCAAACAGGGTTAAGACCAGAAGCTTAGTTGTTGTGTTTGTGAGGTTCAAGCCAGGTTTTATTTTAAAGGAAACATCATTTAGAAACTATCAAAAGTCAAACACACAGCATCACACTAACTGTGTGTGTGATGCTGCCCCCTGCCTGTATTTATCTCTTAACATTTTCCAGCCAGTAGTTAGAATGCTTTTTGCAAGTTGAAGAAACAACTTTAAAAAGACTTATCTGTGAAATCAGTGGGTTGTTAATGCAACGTTTATGAAATTAATATTGCAAATTGCAAACTGCATGCAGTGATAGCTGTCGTTTGGTGTTGTGTGACTGGTAGGCTGTTCTAGGTTCACTTTCAGAGCTTACTGTATGAAAATGAAACAGGTGAGTCGTACGTCTTTACCCACATCCTGTTTTCAGTTGAGTTGCTGAGCTGTGTTGATAGAAACTTTAAATCCGGCCTGATTCTCATGAGGGTAAAGTTTTGTTGAAGTTGTCTGTTAACGCTGTTGAGGTTCTGTGAATGAATTAACGCACTGTCATTACGGTAGCAGGGAAAGACATTTATTTAGTGGACACATAATGTAATTACAATGTGACGCTTGTATTTATTTACACTTCATGTAAAAGAGAACATCATACATTCCCATAATGCTTTGTGCCATGAGTCTGAGACACATAGTGAACCAGTCCTAGACTTTATTTATTTAATGATGTTGTGTGTTTTGCTTCTGTTGTTACATGTCATGAAATTGTCCTGTTGCTGTATCGTCAACAACTGGATGACACAGGTGTCCATGACCCGCCCCCATCTGTCTTTGACTGGCTATTACTCTTTGCTTGGTTGGTCAGTTTCCTGAGTCATCGCTTCTCTTCCCTTGCTGTAAACGCAACTAACACTCAATGGGTGGACAAACAGGAGCTAAATCTTTTTCAGAAGAAAGTTCATCATTTGAGTCATCATTTGAGTTCATGGTTGTGAGAGTCAACAGGTCACTGAGTGTTTGCTCCTGTTTCCTCCTCCTCAACTGATCGTTGAAGTCCAGGGATCAACTTGAAGATGTGTTTGCGCATGTTGGTCTTCCTGCTTTTCCTAGGCAGAGTACCGAACAGAGAGGAGGTCCTCGTCTCCTCCCATGAAGGAGAGAGGGAGCTGCTGCTGCCGGCAAAACTGGAGCTGCTGGAGCGGACGACGGACTGGTGATGGAGGCGGGAGTTCAGGGACCACCTGGAGCCTTCCTGTGTGGAAAAATCTCTGGGGAAGAAGCAGCTGTCGTCTGTGCTGCTGGCTGCACTGAAGGGACCGGGAGAGAGCGCGTCGTCAAACACGCTGATCTGGTCGCTGTCGTCAGTGGCCACGCTCCTGAAGCTGCTGTCACTGGAAAAGCGACGACCATGGCAGACAGTGGGAGAGCTAGTTGAAGAGTCCACGGAAAGGTGGAAGCTGCTGTCGTTCAAGTTACCTGGAAACAACAAGAAGCCCCATGTGAGTCAAAGCTCCAGTTGTCAGGAAGATTGTCAGCAGCTTTGTTTTTCAGGGGAACTCCTATCTTCTACATTATGTGGCGCTCATCACATTTCACGTCAGTCACAGTGAGCACGCTTCGAAGAGATGACACTGGTTGTGAGAAAGGAAGTGCTGTGGTCTGACAGCTGAGAACACACTCACCTCGCAGCAGGCACTTTTCCTGTAACGTTAGTTTTTGCAGCTCCATCAGTTTCTCGTGTAGAGAGTTCTGTGAGTGTGAAAAACGACAAGGTTTTATTTTCTGTAAGTCAAGCCCAACCTGACAGCCAAAATTTTCAAACAATTTTACAAACATTCTGTCTTCACTGGTTCCACTGAACTGTTTCTGGGGTCAACTCACAAAAGTTTCCATTTCAACCACTCTTTCTTTGATCAGCTGCAAAGTTCTGCTTTCTTCCGGGCTCTTGTTTAACCTTTATGGCAATTTGATCAAATATTGTAACCATCTGTAAGCTAAATTGTAGCTTGTCTTTCAACAAAGAGAGTTAATCTCTTTGTTGAGCTAGCCTTTAGCAGACCTATTTTTTTCTTTCTTTTGCTTAGTGCTAAGCTAACCTTCAGACATTTTTGGACTAATGTTTAAAGATAGCCTTGGAGAAATCTTGGAGTTAATTTTTCCCTACTTTTTAAAATGCCATTTTTAGTGAAATAATGTTGTAATTTGTGCCTTTTATTTTATTTTTGCCTAGTAACCATTTTCTGGTCTAACAGCAACACTGAGAGCCCAGTGAGTGTAGAGTGAACTGTAGCCCACTGTAGCATGTAATCACAGCTAAGACGCTTACAGGTTCCTTAGATTTGCGTAAAACCAATGCAAGTGCTATGCACTAAATACATAATTACAGCCTTCAATATCACAGAGGCAGGGATTGGCCCTTAGGTATTTCATTCTGACTGATTCTTAAATTACTCACACTGACCTGATTTTAATGTTGGAACAAGCTAACAAATACTCCAACAACACTGCAGTCACACTGCCGTGCAACAGGAAACCCACCTGTAACGCTAGTCGTGATGTTTTGGTCTAACATCACGACCTGTGTAACGACCACAGACTCGCAGGATGTTGAACACACTCACCTTCAGAAGCTTCATCTTCTTCTCCAGCTCTATCTGCTTCACCACACTCCCACACACCGTCTCCAACCTGAACAAAAACACATTCTCTTTACTCAGTTTTCCATTACCGTTAACACCGTGACATTAACGCCGTTTCGACTGATGTCACTCACTTTAAACTGTTGGCCGAGTCCTTAATCAGACCAAGTATCTGCTGATGCGAGGATCCCTCTACGCTGGCGCCGTTAATGGTCACGATAACATCTCCTGCGGTCATTGAGGTCACAGAAAGTGGGAAGTAAGCAATGAGTTTACAAGAAACAACTCTGTTGTGTTTTAGCATAAATTCATGTTCGTGGGTGGAAGGACACAACATTGAAGTATATATATTTGTGACCACAGCTGCGTCGCTGACTGTGTGTACACCAGAAAACGTGAGGGCGTTGTGTGCAAAACTGTGTATATGGAGGATGTGGCCGCCCCACCTGTGGTCAGACCAGCACTCTCAGCAGCGCTGTCCGTCTGCACTTTGTGCACAAAGGTGTACATCTCCACTGTGGTGCTGTTCTTCAGCTGCAGGCCGTAGGTCTGCAAGGAAAACCACAGAAAAGTAAAAAAATAATTCAAATTTGTTTTGTATAATACATGCATACAATTATTTCATTTTTAAAAATGCATCAGCACAATGGAGAAATAATATTTATTAGTATTATTACTGTTGCTATTATTGTGGTTGTTTCTGTTACTATGACTCTTATCATTATCAGTTCCTACTCTTTCAGACACAACACAAACATGACGTAAAAAGTTATCTTAATGATGAGTTAAAAAAAATGTACACACAAATATTGTCAGGATTCCTTCTACCACCCACCCCCAAATTTTGATTTTTTTAAGCTTTTGACTTTAAATTAAACTGACTTTTTTAGCAGCTCTACAAATTACTTGTTTTGCTCTCATCCTTGAATTCTGATTTGTTTTATACATTTTTTCCACAGATCTACATGATAAAGAATGATTTTTAAAAAACCAAAACATTTTCCTGTTAAATATTTGATTATAGGAACAAAGAGACAGTGACTCTGATAAACTTCCTTAAGTTCTCCTTTTTTAAAGTTTTTTTTGTCATTTCCTTTAATTCAGATTTAATTTCAGAATTCTAAAAATAAAATAGAATTCAAGAAAATTCAAAAAAATCAATAGATTTGCAAATAAAAGCTTTTAGGTAAACCTAGGTTAAAAAGGTTGAAATCTAAAATTAAATGAAACAGATGCTCACCTGAAGTTCAAAACCAAACGTCTCGTTGTCCTGCTTTTCTAGTATAATTGTGGTTCTGCGGAAAAGAAAAAAAATGCAAAGGAATTATAAGTAAACACAAAAAACTGCAACTGAAAAAAACAAAGAGGAAACTACAGAGCTTTAAGTTCTACCTTTGTGGGTCATAGTAATCCACCAGTGAGTTGGAGCGACATGGTTTAGGCTGCAAAAGCAGAAACACAAGAGTTTGACTGTAAAACAATAGAGCACTTATTTTCAGGAAACTGGTTCAAAGCTTTAGGGATGTGAACAGGTAGGTCCTGTACTTCTCTTTTTTTTTTTGGTTTACAGAATAGATAATTACAGGTGAACAATGTTGCTTCAGTTCTGTATTTGTGTTGCCTGTTTTCTCACCTTGCAGCCTCTGGGCAGAGAGCTTGTGTTTGTCTGCTGTCGATCACTGTTGCCCCTCAGGGAACGCCGGGACCACAGAGACGTTTTCTTCCTGCGAACATTATCCAGGATGCAACGGTCTTGGCTGCTCTGATGCTGAAGTCCATTGGAATTCATGGTAGACTGCATTGTAGACCAGTTCTCACAGCACCATTATGTCCTGCAGCAGCAGCAGCGGTGTGTGTGTGTGAGACAGTGAGTATGACCTGCCATGCAGCTATAAGTAAAATGTGTCGAAGCGGAAATCCACATCATGTGACTAGTGGTGGTGAACCTGCATCTGTAGATCACAGTTTCACACATACGCACACCCAAATACACACAGTCTTTTTTTGTGATTTGTGAGCACATCTTACCCCAACCTTAACCATTAGTTTCCCTTATCTTACCCGTTAATTTCACTTTAACACAGCCCTAATTCTAAAGTATTTCATGATGGGATGTCAAAAAAAAAAAAAGACAAGATTTTACACCCCAGTATGTGCACCAAGGGGTTAAATTTGTGCAAAAAATTTGTGCCAAAAATACAAAATAGTATTTTGTCACAGACTGCTCATGGACAAAATTTGATCAAAGATGATCCATGCTAATATTAATATTACAAAACAAATAATTTTATGCCCAAATGCAAAATTAAGCAAAAAGCTTAAAATACCCTCTGTCTCAGTGCAGATCAGAAAAATGTCCTCACCAGAATAGCTGTACGTAGAGCACACCCACACAGACACACACACACTTTCCTGTTCACCCCTTTTCTTGAGAAGTGCTGTTTGACTGCTCGGAGGAGAAAAGGGAAGGAGAATGATCACAGTGTTGTCCCCTGTACTGTTATGCCCTCATTTTGATTTAGTCTGTCAGAAAACTGTGGTACCTCCACCAGTAGCTGCTCCCTGTCTGACTGGGTCTCACTCTCAATTGAAAAAATTGAAAAAAATTGAAATTTTATCCTTTCTGTATGTTTTTCATCAAATTACAGCATTTTGAAAATTTTATTAGTAAAATCAGCATGTTTTAGGACATA